ACTGAGCAGGTGACAAATTAAAGGATGAACTAAAGTATCTTAATTAGGTGTTGGGTCATGAGAACTCGTCTCAGACTAAAGTGTGGTAAATTCCATCCTTCCAAGAGACATTACCTCAGTAGGTGTTTTGAAGGTCGTGGTGAAAAACTGCTCTCTTACTTTGTATGTCAAAAACACAGTTTGTGACTCTGAAGGCCACATAACTGAAGCCATGTTTACACTCATAAAACCATTCATTATCCCATAATTTTGCCTGTTGATAGTATTGATATCCTGAAAAAGACGTTTCTTATGCAAGATGTGAAAATAAAGGTGGTGACGACCCTTAGAACTATGTACCATATCAACACACTGCCCCCCACAGCATGACTAGGGTCCATTTGTTTTTTTTATTTTCTCCTAGAATTCGTATCCTGATCTTTATTTTATTTTTAATCAGATGTCAAATTTATCAGCAGTTCCTGTCGTTTCAAATCAAATTAAGCACAAAGGTAACCACTATCTTTCCCAACTCCCAGGATGCTTTACAGGAAATGTACAATAAGGAAGGCAAGTTCCCGGGACCCACAATTATCCCACCGCGCAGGCTGTGGACACTGCTCAACTTCCTGTTTTGGGCAACACTGCTGCTTTCACCACTCATCAATTTTGCCTGCGGAGTGGTCGTCAGTGGCTCACCTCTCCTCATTATTGGCTTTATACTCTTCCTCATCGTAGGTAGGTCAAACCTTACCTTTTAGACAGTTTGCCGCTCATGTCCTGTTAGTATTAGTATAGTATACTTTTTTGGCACTAATTGTACTTGCAAAAAGAGTAAAGTCTAAGTTCTTTAGCTCCTGTGGTTTTGGGTATTTGACTGTTTTGAAGTTGGTCAGTCATGGATGTATAATTCAACCAGTCACCTGCCCAGAATGAAAACTGATGTAGCTTGTTTCATTTAAAGCTCGTGAGGTTTTTTTTTCCTGACCTGTTGTGTTCTTTCCCCCCCTTCTCCTTTGTTCTCTCTACAGCCTCTATAGC